TTGGGATTCTTCTCCTTCCTGTATGCCTATGATTTGTAAGTTTGGTCTTTTTATGGTGTCACACAATTCCTGCATATTCCATTCTTGTGATTGCTTAAATTTTTCAGTCTTTGCCTGTGTGGTCTAGTTTGTCCACTTTATCTTCCAGTCTTGATACTCTGTTTTCCATTTCGTTCATCCTATTCCTGAAACTTTTTCCTGTCATTTCTAATTGACTTACTGAGTGTTTCACTTCCTTCTTCATTTCAGCCTGAGTATTGTTCAATATTTCTAACTCTTTTCTAAATTCATTTAGAAGTTTATCACCATCGTCCTTTAGCTCTTTGATTTCTTTGTTTGTGTGCTCTTTAAATTCACTGAATTCTTTTATCATGTTTATAATTGTGTTTTTGAGTTCCATGCCCTGCATTATCTCTAGGGGGTTCTCATTGTACTCCTCTAGAGGGCTATTGGTACTTGGTAGGGATATGTTATTTTGGTTTTCCATGTTATTATCTCTGTGATTTTGACACGTGAATTTCTTTTGTAGTTTCTATTCTTGTGTGAGACTCAGGCCTTCAAGTTTAGGTCTGCTTCTTTTTGTGAACTTTATGTGTCTTTGTGGTTTAGTTTTTGGGCATGAAAAGCTGGTTCATCTAAGCTTCCGGTTCTCTCTTTTGATTTTATATTGGAGTGGCCGATTGCTTTTGTCTTCAGGAGTTCCCAGAGAGGCCCAATTCAGGTGAGGGTCAGATATTTTCAGGCTTTCTCCTAAGGTCTGGATCCCTCCAGGAATGATTTTGGCCTCAGGAATTTGGGGGTTGGACTGGCCTGGAAGCCTGGCCCAGGAAAGATGCTGGTCTAGGGCAACTGGTGGCCGTGCCACCAAGAGATGCAAAGGCAGATGGGGCAGAAAGAGGCCCCAAGGCCTCCTGGGGATTGCACTGAGGAGATGGGTTGGTCTGGATGCAAAGGATCAGGAAGAGGAAAGGTCAGCCCTAGTGCCCCAGAAAGAGGCTAGCGAGTGGTGCAGGGCCAGGGAAGCAGAGGAAGTTGAGGGCGGGGCCAGGCCCAGAAGCAGTGCTCCTGGGGCCCAGAGAAGGCACTACGTTGGTCTGGATGAAAAGGTTCAGGGAGCAGTATTGGTTCTCAGGTGTCTGGGGCCCCCAGACAAGCAATGGGGCAGGGCCCAAACTCGGAAGAGAGAAAGGTGGTGGAGATGGGAGGGTGCAGAGGCTGGGGGAGTCAAGGCAAGGAGTGCACAATGGACTTACCCCGGAGAGAGGCCTGCAGGTAGGAGAGAGGCCTGTGGCAAGTCCTGCAGGCCCAGGGAAGCAGAGCGTGTTAAAAATATTTAAATAAAGATATAAACTTTATTTCAATGGCCGTGTCAATTACATTTCTGTCATTCCTCTTCCTGATCTTGGAATAATTGATGTTTGACATCAGGAAAGCTATCTCTTCATCCACAGAAATGTGTATGGAGGAACTTATTAAGCAATTAACCCAGGTAGCAAATAAAAATACCCTCATGAAGCAGAAAGATTAGCACCAAAAGACATGGTAGAACATAAACCTTTAACAGAAGACAAAATAAGGAGGACAAATATTTGTAGGGTAGAAAGAAATAAGAATTTCCCTAGAAGGGAAATCGATAGTAAAAAAGGGCACATCATGATGAGGGTGATGATGATGTTAATATATTATTATGAACAAGTGGTTATTATATATTTTATTGCTTATAGCCCACTTTATGAAATGCATAGGACACCTATTATTGCTCCCAGTCAATAAACTAAAAACTGAGGCTTTGAAAGTCTGGCCATAGGCACACAGGGAAGTCCATGATTCCTGGGTACTACCTCTTGAATGTCCTTTTGACATGAGCAAGCTTATCTAATCACTGTGGCATCTGTGTACACACCTGCATACCAGAAGTAGTTAGGGAGGTGCAGGGCCAACACTAGGATATCAAAAGTAAATAATGCATATCAGACAACAGCACTGAAAACCACTTTTCTGCACAGAAATATTCTTACCTTGTGTCACGCTTCTCTTTGCATAAAACATTGACATTTTCATGGTGTTTGGGAGCCTACTGTTGGCTTCTGAAAGCACTGGCGCCATATCATGCTGTCATTGTAACAGCCCTCCAGTGGTAGGACATTTTGGCTACAGCAGTGTGCTTGCCACCAAAACACTAAATTGCAATATTTTATATTTATCTCTATTTAAATTTTAGTGATGCTATATAAATGTTAACATGGCCTTACACTAATATAATCATGGAGGTGTCTTAATAACACCACATATTGGAACAGCTCTGGGTGAATTGTGATTTACTAAGGATACCTAATGTATGTTTCTCAAGTCACTTTAGTTAGGAAGTAGCATGACGATGCCACTGTTTCTCCCAAATCTATTTCCTGACTCAATGGCAAGGGATATGGAGATATTTGAAAGTATTTTGGAATAGACAAAGATTTCCAAAAATAGTCCAGAGAGGTTAATGTTTGACTTAGTTAATTTCTGGCTTGAGAAATAAATGGTGAGCCTTAATAAATTTTCAAGTCTCTGAAGCCTTCTGAGGATTAGACCCTGGACCTTCCTAGGGCTGAAACCACAGCTATACCAATGACTAACAGATTTTTCTCCTTTCCAGTGGCTTAGACAGAGATTTCTTTGGGTTTTCTGAAAAGCTTTTGACTTTGGAAGGTGAGACCAAGGGAGATGGAACCTTCCTGGAAGCCAGAGTCTTAATTGTCTATAACACTACCACATGACTACTGAGGCCTGAACATTAAGGCAGGCAATGATAAGAGAAACAAAGACCTGCTTGCTCCAAGTGTCTCCTCATAGAACAACGGTCCTTCATTTTACCATGACATTAAGGGATCAGATTGAGATTCTGATTAAAGAGACATAAGAATGAATAAAAAGTCAAAGAAAGTCTTTCAAAACAAACTCTACATCAATATGTTCAGAATAGTCTTTCTCCTACACAAATTCTACATCTAATAAGCAAGCAACAGTAACAGCCACCACCTGGAAACAAGAATCAGAATATTTGTTTCTATTTTAGAAATACAAATAGTCTTAGGAGCAGTTTTTTTTGTTTGTTTGTTTTTAATGGGCGAAACTACAGTACGAAGATATCCTGACCTTTTTAGGACAAAGAAAATGATGTATCTTTTAAAACATCTATTCTTTCAAGACACTGTCTACCCACTCCTCTTGCCTGATCAGTTTTCTAATATAAGGAGACAGAATTGAAATTCTAAAGAAATGCTACCCAGAAAGTGCAATAACCTGATTGCATGTTGATTGATTCCAGTCAACTAGGGGAAGACACATTCTCCTCAAAAGGCCATCCTTGGTGAGGTTCATCACTTATCACTAGATGTAGCTTTACTGCCAAGAGAATCAACCCTTTCAGTTTATTGCCCTCACAGGGCAAGTCTTGAGAGACTGTATGCAGCTGGTTCCTTTATTAGTTTTTATTAAAATAGAAGATATGACCTAAGATTTTTACTAAGTGTGCATATATAAGATAAGAAAACAGACATCACAGATGGTAGAAAACTTCTGTCTCTTTGGGATAAAGACAATCAAATTTTAGCTTTGCCAGTACCACACTGACATGTTGAGTAGAAATGTTTACCAGTGTAAGTGTACCCTTCTTCCAAGCCAATTAAGGCAAACAGTCCAGGTCAATGGGAATCTATCCATGTTACTCACCTGGAAAAAGCAGCCCCGAGCACAAAAGCAGCATACTCCTTCACCAGGGGCTCTGTGCTGTTCAGCCCATTAATCACCACTTGAAGGCCACCAAAGGACAGCAGGTCCTGTGCATTATCCATCTGCAACAAAGGCACTGCTTAGTACAGGATAGCCATCAAGAAAGGAAGCACTCTTCTGACAGCTTTTCTTTTGGTGACTATTCAAAAACAATGTAAAATAAAAAGCCTTTCTGAATAACTAGGACAGGTATATTAAAACAAGGCAGAGGCAGGCAGACCTCTGTTAGACCCAGGCCAGCTGGGGGATACAGGGAGACCCTGTCTCATCAATCAATCAACCACTCACTCACTCACTCAATCAATAATCAATCAATCAAAAACATTATAAATTTTAAAGTACTCTTAAATCTGAAAAATTGGAAGTCCTGATTCATGTAACCATTTATGAGTATCTGCATGGGAATTAGTGAAAATGGCACCTAGCTCTTGCTCATGCCAAACATATCTCAGAAATTCTAATGTCGTAATGAGTCACAAAGCTTACTCCAGACATACAAGTTGTTAATACAAAGAATCTGGCATCATGAGCACCACTAAATGGTGCTATGCTTTCTGTTGTTGTACAAATCCAAAAGCTCAGTGGAGACAAAAGACATTAAAAATATATAAAAATTTTTAAAAATGAAAGCTGATTTTTAATTAGAAGGCAGGAACTATAAAAGGAGCTCTGTTGGTAAAAGAGGCTGTGGTGTGTGGTGGCGGGGGTGGAGTGCTACAAGAGTGCTAGGAGAGGAGTAACAATATTACCCTTCTTTTCTAAGGTTGATGGAATCTGAGGGCATTCATGATAGAAATCTGTACAAAATTCACTTTCCCAAAGACTTTGGTCTAGGCCTGTTACTCACTAGTAACTATATACCAGACAGTGCAGAGTATTTCCATCATCACAAAACTAATAAGCTGTGTGACTTTAAACAATAAACCCAATGATTATAAAAAGGTCTCATTACAATGAAATTAATACTAAATAATTACACTGACTTCTTATCAAATATCTGTAGTTTGAGCAGTAATGGACATACTGACTTTTGTAGCGCTTAAACTATTATTATAACATTTGCTAATTAACTTACTAAATCCTATATTTCATATCTACATGAAAAAACAGAATCATAATCTCTTTTTCCTCCACCCCTTACCTACAAAGGTAATCTGTTGCCCAAATAATCCTACTCTGTAGAACTCAGGACAACTCAAGAAGCCAAAGCCAAGCAACAACGTGACAGCTATCCACTTTTTCTATCCAGAACTACAGGACTATTTCCTATCTGACTCTGTCCTTGCTTCTGTCTCCAAATAGGAAGTGGGTTCTGAGAGAAAAACCAAGTGTAAAGCACAGTTTCTGACTCTGTTCATGCATTTGGGTAGGCCTAGCCTTTTTATTTTTTATTTTTTATTTATTTTTTTAACCACTTGGAAGATAATTGTTACACATTTTAATAGAAGTGAGGTTTTGGTCCATCTACTGTTACAGTTTTAGTGACTAGAATAGTGCCTAGCATACAGTTAGGTATTAAATAAATAACCCTTACACTAATGAATATAAATTTGAGAAGAAAATTGCTCCTGAAAAAAAAACCTATTGTGAATTTTTTTAAAAGCAGTCTACACACACACATGCACACACACACATGCACACACACACACACACACACACACACACACACACACACACAAGCAATCTATATTATCTGTGTCAACAAAGTAAATGGATGTTGGTACCAAAGTAGCCAATCCAGGCTGTGAAGTAAGCATGAGGTCTGGTTGCTATGTCATGTTCAAGGCCAGAGCTAGAATTTTTCTGTCTAACTTGTCCCTATGAAGAAGGATGACTATTCTGCCAAAGCCCAACTAATTAGGAAGACTCAGAATTGGGTGCTTTGCTGATATAAACATCTTCCTTCCTTACATGTTCTGGTTTAAAAATATACTAATCCACACCTATCTTTTGATCCTCCTTGCTCTAGTTTTCCCAGGCACAAAATTACAGCTCAGAAACCCATCATCTCATGCCTGGGATGATCACTTATCAAAGCTCGTATGACTTCTTGGCAGAGCAGCTACCTTCCTGTTGACCCCAAAACAACACAACCCAGAGCCATGGAGGTTCTGTTCTAGATTCAGTTTCTCTACATTACTAAACAATTATTCCATGTGATGTAAAGCTGGTATTTATGTAAGCACTTAGGCCTTTGAAGGTGTTCTATCATTTCACTGGCAATAAGAAAGAAAAGGTTCATTCTGACCCACTTACACACCAAAAGCTGTGTTTCTTCCCAGAGTCACACACAAGGCAAGTCTGGAGCCAGACTTTTCTCAGGCTTCCTTGATGATAGGGAAAGACCAATGGAGAGAGGTAAAGAGAGAGAGAGAGCATTAGGAAGGGGATGAAGGGAACTAAGTCAACACCCAGAGCACTGACAAGACAATGGAAGATCAGGAATCTCAAAAAGGGAGAGATGGGAGTAAATAATTGAGGAGTCACGTGAGAAAAGACAACTATTTTGCCCAGGGCAGATGGGGCACATAGAGGCATTTCTTATAAATAACTCACAAACTGTTTTCTACACACAAGGTTTTGCTTTTCACATACCCTGTTTTAATAATTAAATATGACTGGGAGGAATCCTTTGGCAGATCCACTTCAGGTCCTTGAAGTCCATGACTCTTTAAGCCTCTATTCTATGAGTTTGGAGTGGGGATGGACTGAAGGGCCTGGCTAGAAAAGTTCTATCTGCCTCAAAGTTAGCACAACATTGCCCCAATTCTCCATCAGAACTGGAAATCAGGCTGTGCTATACACTCTGGAACCTCCCTGTGGAATCACAATTTATCATTATTATATGTCAGCATAGTGAACCAGCCCACGTCAATGACCCAGAACATTCTGCCAAAAGAGTGAGTTTGGCCTTGCCCAGCAGAATGGTTCCTGTGATGACCTCTGGCTGAGTGGTCACATCCAAGGAACTTTATACCTCTCCCATTGACCTGTGAAAGTGAAATGGGATGTCACCCTAGGGGATGGTATTGCCAGGGCCTGCAAGGGAAAAAAAAATCTGTTGGATTACTGCCTCTCAGGGCTCTGTGTACTCATTTCCTTCTAGGTATGGTATGCTTCTAGTAATTCTGGCCTTTCATGTGCAACTAGAGAACAAGACTACAGAAACCTCAAAGATTTACCCAACTATGTTAAGATGAAAAAAATAATAATAAAAGATGTCAACATCAGAGCAGGACTAAGCTGGCCAGTAGCCCCTAGGAGCCTTAATACTTTAAATATCTCTAATGGAAAAGCTATGGGGGTTTTTGTCTTTTGCCCTAAAGGAAGAATTGGAAAGGGGAAAGAGAACCCAGGTTCACTTTAACCCCCTTAAGAGGATCACAGCCTTGCTATTTGGGGTCTGAGAGAGTTATGAGCAGAGAAGGATGAAGAGCTGTACCATAACTCCTGGAGATACAGTACACTCTCATCCTTTTCTACCACAGAAGCTGGCAAAATCCTAAACAAAGAAAAAAAAATGTCTTTTAGCCTAGTTTACAGAGAATAAGGATGCTGTCATGTGTGGGAGGACACTGAGGTTCTATTCCACTGAATGAGGATCTCCAACAAGCCTTTGATTATAATTGCACAGCCTCCTGGGCCATCATTGTCCCTAGTCTGAATTACTGCAATAGCTTCCTATCTGGTCTCTGCTTCCACCAAGGCTCCTACCTCTGGTCAAATTCTCAACAGAGCAGCTAAAGGAGACTTTCTTTAATCATTTTTCTGTCCACTGTCCAATTCTATTCTTTCACATAGCCTATGAGGACCCCAGGATCTTCCTCTCATTATCTCTCCCCTTTCTCTCAGATCCAGTCAGAATGACCTTGTAGTTTCTCAAACGTACTAGGGATGCTCCTATCTCCTGTGTGAGATGCTCCTTCTCAATAATGCCAATTCCTGTCCAGGTCTCTTTTTTAGTTTTCCATAATATGTATCACCTTTCAAACAAATTATGTGGTATGTCTATCTGCCTTTACTAGAAGGTAAGCTCCAATTTTATTCATAAATGTATCTCAAGTGCCTGGAACAGTACCTAAGACTTAACAGGCACTCCATAAATTCATTTATTGAGAAAATGAATGGCTTAGCACCTCCTCATCTCTATCTTTTGAGCTTCATGCAAAAGGCACCAGTTTTCTTCAAGAAGCAGATTGCTCAAAAGTTTAAAAGTAGGCTAAGTGTGGTAGTACACACCTTTAATACTAACAGAGGCAGGGAGATCTCTGTGAGATCAAGGCCAACCTGGTCTACATAGTGAGTTCTAGGCCAGCTGGGGCTATAAGGAGATCTAGTCTCAAAAACAAAACAAAACAATATAAAACAAAATTTTAAAAAATCCCAAAAGTTTAAAAGCTTATGGTTAGACAGATCCTACTTACAAATCTACAGATCCTAGCTTCGGTAATCACACTATCTCCTTGTGCTTCATTTTCCTCATTTATAAAAAATGAGTCGCAGGGTGACTCATATTGTAGTGCCTGATATTCAGGAGGCTGCGGTGAAAGGAATCACTTGAGCCCAGAAATTTGAGACTATCCTGGGGAACATAATGAGACTCTATCTCAAAACCCACAAAACAAACAAATAAAGAAACAAACAAACAAAAGGGACTCATAGTGGTGCCTACCCATAAAGCAGCCGTGGAAGTTGATGAATTAAAAGTAGATAGGATATTAGCCATTATAAGTTTGAACAGTTACTTTCCCACTTCAAATTCTCCAAGGATTGTTAGGATTAAGGGTAAAATCACAGAGTAAGAGACTAGTCCCAACTTGACCTCTCTGACTCCCAGCATCTACTGTGTTTATGATGCCCTTCCCCTGGCTACGATCTAGTCATCCCAATCTTTCAATTTACCAAGCTCATCTCTGCCCCAGATTCTTTGCACATGTAACTTATGCTGCCTGAAATGCTCTAATAGAAAGACTGGCAAACTTTTTCTAAAGGGCCTAACAGCTTTTGGGTTTTTGGTTAATTCTCTAAAAATACATATTTTATTAATTATTTGGGTGTTTCATACATGCATACAATAGATTTTGATCATATTTATCCCCCACTCCTCCCCTAACTCCTCCCAGGTTCATCCTCCCCCATACCCTCCCAATTTCATGTTCTTCTTCTTCTTCTTCTTCTTTTTTTTAATAACCCACTAAGTCCAGTTTGTGCTGCCCATATGCACCTGAGGTTGTGGAACCATCCATTGGAGTATGGTTGATCTACCACGGGCCACCACCTTCAGAAAACTGACTGCCTCCCCAGCAGCCATCAACTGTCAATGTCAATAGCTCCTCACCAGGTGTGAGGCCCTCCCCATCCATGCTGAAATGTTGACTGACTTGAGCTCCTACAGGCAACCACAGCTGCTCTGAGTTGATGAGTGCAGTGGTTCTGTCATGTCCAAAAGACACTGTTTCACCCCAATCCTCTCTGATCTCTGGCTCTTACAGTCTTTCTACCCTGTCTTCCACAATACTACCTGTGCCTTGGAGAAAGGAATGTATAATGATATGAAGGGGGAAAAGGGGAATAATGGAGAGGGGGGTTTAAGCAGTAAATACTTTTTTTACTTTGCAAGCAATGTGGTTTCTGTCACAACTATGCAACTCTGTCACTATAATGAAATGAACCTTAAATATTACATCAACAAATCAGGGAGATTATCCCAATAAAATTTTATTTACAAATGCAGATATTACACCAGATTTGGTCCATGGGCAACAGCTGCATCACCTGTTTAACTTCTTCCTCTTCATCTAGCTAATCCCTATTCCTCCATGAATACTAAGCCTAAATGACACATCCTTTGAGAAGCTACCTTTTATTAACTCTAACTAGGTTCTAAGTTCCCCTGTGATATACTCTGGCATCACCCTCTGAAGCCCCTATTATACTCTTAAGTCACCTCATTATTTGTTCATTTGTTCAACTGTTCATTATTGGTTTCCCTTTCTAGACCACAAATGACATGAGACAGAAACTATGGCTATTTTGCCTCAGTGTTAAAAAAAAAAAAGGGAGGTAACTAACAGTTCAAGCAAAAAAGAAGTTGATTCTGGCCTCTAAAAACATACCTAACTACCACAGTGAACTACATTGAAAACAGTCTATGTCTGGAAAGAGAAAGATGCTGATGCTGTTTTCTCAGGGCTTAGGGTAAGGGGTTATTTTTGAAACTATTATTTAAAAGGTCAGATTTGGGGCTGGAGAGATGGCTCAGCAGTTAAGAACACTGTTCTTGCAAAAGACTCTGGTTCAAATCCCAGCACCCACATGGCAGCTAACAACTATCCTTAACTCCAGTCCCAGGGGATCTAACAGCCTCTTCTGGCCTCCTCAGGCATTGCACGACATGGGTGCACTTACCTACATGCAGGCATAACACTCATACACATAAAATGAAAATAATAAATAAAATATAAAAAAATAAATAAATAAAATATTTTTTAAAAGGTCAGATTTATGAGCAAGGAAATACAATACCTGATGGACATAATACTCAAGATCAAAGAGTGCAGCAATCTTCTCTTCCAGGCTGGAATTGGAACTATTGAACTTGTTTATCAGCCGTACCATAATCTGCATATCAGTCTCAATAACAACATTCAGCTCATCAAATTCTTTCTTCAGCTCCTCAATGGGGCGGAAGAGTTGTTTTACCTTGGCCTGCCTTGCCTAAAGAGAACAGCAAAGAGATAATTAATCTAATGGATTGGAGACATTTCCCCAAGGTTCCTATGGTTCACCCCCATTAAAGAACTGCTCTTCCAGCCAGACATGGTGGCACATGCCTTTAATCCCAGCACTTGGGAGGCAGAGGCAGTTGATCTGGATCTCTGTGAGTTCAAAGCCAGCCTGGTCTACATAGCGAGTTCCAGGCCAGTTGGGGCTGACTACAGGGAGACCCTGTCCCAAAAAGACAAAAAAAAAAAAAACAAAAAAAAAAACTGCTCTTCCAAGACTCACATCCTAGCCGGGTGTGGTGGCGCATGCCTTTAATCCCAGCACTTGGGAGGCAGAGGCAGGCGGATCCTTGTGAGTTCAAGGCCAGCCTGGTCTACATAGTGAGTTCAGGTCAGCTGGGACTACAGGGAGACCCTGTCTCAAAAAGACAAAAAAAAAACAAAAACCACAAAAATCCAAGACTCACATCATAATCTATCCTATCAGAAACTCATACTTCCTCAGAGACCCAGAGAAAAAGCCATCAGAGTCCACCCATATAGGGCTCTATCCAAACACACTCAGAATTTTCCAGGTTCATTTATTCAAAACTGATTTCCAGTATTCTTGAAGCATAGGGGTTCCTTGTTGCAATCACTGAGGTCAGGGAAAGCAAGATAAGCTTACTTACCTCTAACCTCATGGGACAGGTAAAGGAGAAGTAAAAGAATCCATACCATAGTTTTCTGCCCTTCCTAATCAGAATATCTTGGTCTTGTACTACCCGACCCAACAACATTTTAGGGAAACTCGGATGTAGGAAACTGTGGGTAAGAACTGTCAGAGCAGGAGCAATTTGCCAATGAAAATTAAATCACTGTCATTACTGTCAGTCTAACCACAGGTGTACAATTTGTTCAACTGTTTGAAATGGCTAAATTACTGTATGCACTATACTCAAATCTCAAACAATTTTCTCTCAGTCCTCCCAACTCCACATACATATAAAGATTTTTAAAATGAAGTTATGTTAGAGGTGAATGAAAGACTTTAATTGGATATTTTGTAGATGTGGCACTCCATTTTCTTCCCAATTTTAGCCTATAGTGCTTATAAAGAAAGTCTGAAAGGTCGTGGTGGTTTATGTATCTATCTTCCAAGAAAAATTAAAATGCATGGGTATTTATAAAAAGCAGGATGATGAGCAGCTGTCAGCTCCAAATTATTCATCTATCACCTATGGTTTCTCTCCCCAGTATAAGCACTCCATAGAAACACCAACCAAAGATATGAATCAGCCTCTTTTTAAAAAGACTGTTCCAGCAGAGCAATCACATCTATGAGGTGCCACACCCAATACTGGGGCTAAAACACTGTGAAATGTTCTTGCTAAACTCAGGTAGAAGTCTCTGGATGGTGAATAAAACCAGTTAAAATGGTCTGGGAAGGCTGTCACTTCTATGGAAAAATTGGCAAGGGAGCATGATAAGAAAATAATGAATTCTGCCTTATAAAGAGGATGACTCCTGGCTCTTAGGAAGGGCTTTGAAAAAGGAAAAGGAAAGATTTAGTTTGAAGAAATTATAAATTCACAGGAAAATATAAAATTAGTACAGAGAGTACCATGTATTCTTTATCCATCTCCCCCCAATGGTAACATATTATATAATGATAGTACAATGTTAAAAACAAGAAAAGGCACAGTACAATAGTCAAGTGGACCACGGGTCTTAGATTATATGCCCTCCTTTGCATATATGTATATACCATTCCATATAGTTTTATACAAGGTATAGCTTTATGTAATCACCACGACAAATTATAGAATCGTTTCACCACCAAGTAACTCCACTGAATAATCTCTGTATAGCCACATCTTGTACTCTCACTGCCCCAGTCCCTAAGCCCTGATAACCACTAATTTTTCCTCCAGCTCTATAATTCTGACATTTGGAGAATGTTTTATAAATGGAACTACACAGATTGGCTTTTCTAAGATTGGCATTTTTTCACTAAGCATAATGCCCTTGAGATCTATCCAAGTTACTGTGTACACATCAAGTGCTCACTTCTTTTTAGTGCTGAATATTTCATTATATACATGGTTTGTTTACTCATTTACCTGATTAAAACATTCGACTTGTTTTCTAGGCTTTAGCTATTATGAATAAAACTGTTCAGCTGGCAAGATGGCTCAGTGGGAAAAAGTATTTGCCTCACAAGTCTGACAACCTGAGTTCCATCCCTGGAACCCAAGGAGATAGCCAATTCTTGAAAGTTACCCTCTGTCCTACACATATACACTGTGACATGTGCATGCCCATACCCACACACATATATTATTTACACACATAATAATAATAACAATAATAAACAACTGCTATAAGCACGTGAAACCTGCATACAGATTTTTGTTTAAACATGTTACTTTTCTTTTTTTTTAATATTTTATGTGTATACATGTATTGCCTCATGTAGGTAAGTGCACCCATGTCATGCAATGCCCACAGAGGACAGAAGAGACTGTCGGATCCCCTGTAACTGGAGTTATGGACAGTTGTTAGCGGCCATGTTGGTGCTGGGATTCAAACCCAGGTCTTCTGTAAGAACAGTGTTCTTATCCGCTGAGCCATCTCTCCAGCCCCAAGTTCTTATTTTTCTAGGATAAATGCCCAAAAGCACAGTTACTGAGTTATCTGGTAAATCTATTTTGTTTCATAAGAAACAAACCATTTTCCAGAAGGAATGTACCATTTTACATTCCCATCAACTATGTATATAAAAAAGTTTAATCATATTTTTACCTTTATATAATACTATCATCATTTTTTTCCAACTATAAATTTATTCAACACAAAACAACCTCTTCCAACTACACTGAGGTGGCTGACCATGTCTATGACCAACGCACCTCTGAACTGGCATTCAGTTGCTGAGCCATCCCCCACTCAGCTTTCTTGTCAGCAGTAGTGGATACAGTGCTCCATCTGCAGGTGTCTCTGTTGGCATCCCCTCTTGTGAATCATGCAGGTTGCTCACTCGCCAGACCTTTGAGTCAAGGCCTGCCAGTCTTAAGACAGCTGCTGTGCAGGATGGCAGGCATGATCTTGGAAAGCAGGTGGGGGTAATCACTGAGATATTGGATACTCTCATTGATAAGGTACCAGTAGAAATCTCTCCAGGCCAACTTCCTGTGAAACAGCCTGGAGACTTGAGAGGCTGCACAGCCTTCATGACATGAAGGTTTGGTACATTCCTATCTGCCAACTCTGAGTGTTTAGACATGTGGACATCCTTCTGAGCTTCTATCACTCCCCCCTTAAAAAGGAATCCACAGATGGCAATCCTATTCTTGGGCATCAACATCAAGGTGGCTGCAGGGTACAAGGCTGACGCTGGAAAGCCTAGCATCAATTTTTATGTATCCTAACAAATACATACTATAGATTTATTTTGCATATCTCTAATGGCTAATGATGCTAAATATGTTTTCATGTGTTTATCTGCCATCCACATATTTTCTTTGCTGAAATGTTTGTTGAATTTTCCCACTTTGTAAATAGGTTCATTTTTACTATTGAAGTTTGACAGTAGGCCAGATAAAAGTCCTTTGTCAGGGACCAGAGAGATGGCTGAGCAGTTAGGAGCACTTGCTACTTTTGCAGAGTACTCAGGTTTAGTTCCCAGGATGCACATGGTGACTCACAACCATCTCTAACTCCAGTTCTAGGGGATCCGGTGCCTTCTTCTGGCTTCTATGAAAGACATGCAGTGGACATATATACTGGCAGACAAAAACACTCATGCACATAAAATAAAAATAAATATTTTTTAAAAAGTCTTTTGTCAGGTTTGGTATACAACTCATCAGTAGGGCACGTGTATAGCCCTGGGGTCAATCCCCAGTACCATGAAGAAAACAAAACAGACTTTGTCAGATACAGTTCTTCCTTTGCATGGGTTTTCAAATTTCAATTACCATAATATTTTAACTATAATGATACAAAGTCATAACTTTTTCAGAGCTGAGGATGTAGCTCGGTTGGTAGAGTGCTTGCCTAGCATGTACAAAGCCCTGGGCTTGATCCCTAGCACAGCATAACTAGACATGGTGGTGTATACCTGTAATCCTAGTACTCAGGAGGTGGAGGCAGGCGGATCAAAAGTTCAAAGTCACCCTCAGCTATGTTGTGAGTTTTAAGGCCAGTTGAGATACAGGAGACCCTGTCTCAAAAATAAAAATAGGGATTGGAAAGATGGCTCAATGGTTAGGAGGGCATACTGAAAGTTTGTTTCCTAACACCCATGTCAGGCTGCTCACAAATGCCTATAACTGCAGCTCCAGGGGATCTGATGCCCTCTTCTAGGCTCTGCAGGCCCCTGCATTCTCATGCACATACCCATACATACACATAATTTTTAAAATAATCAAAAAAAGAAGTAATTTTGAAATTGAGGATTTTATGTGGTTTAGCTAGAAGTATAACACTAGACTCATAAAATAAGTTAGGAAGTATTCCTTCTGTGTTCACTTTCTAGAAGAGGCAGTGTACAACTGATAATTTTTTCATTGTATTTTTAATTGAATTTTTGCTATTTTCATACAATATAGTTTAATGGTATTTAGATCCCCTCCCCATCTTCCCCATCTGCACCTCCCCTCGCTGTTCCCCACACAATTTAATATATTGTCTCTCATATGCCTGCCCAATTTAATGTTCTCTTATATATATATTACAGCCTATAGAGTCTGATTTGTGTCCCCAAATGTTATTCAGTGTTAGTCCATCCAGTGGGTCCACAAAGAGTCTCATCTCTATGAGATACCATCTCTCCCCCTCCCAATTGCCATCAGTTGCTAAAGTTCCTTAGGTTGGGTTGGGATTTCTGACCTGCTTCCCCATGTCCAGGCTGAAATTTTGTCTGATTTGAGCTTGCAGAGAACTTGTGCATGTTGTCACCATTGCCATATGGAACAACTACCTGAAACATAGTCTTTCAGGTAATTATTT